TCCAAGTAGTCTTTGTGCTGGCCTACTTCCCTGCCTGTGAGCAGAGCTGATTGTGGAACAGACCACCAACTACTCATATGCAAGTTCAAGGTGAAGCTGAGGAAAATTAAACCGAATCCACGGGAACCAAAATATGACTTTGAGTCTATCCCACCTGAATTTCAGAACCATTTCAGGAACAGGTTTGAGGCCTTGAACACTAATAAGCAAAGACCAAATGAGTTGTGGGAGGATGTCAAAGATATCATCCAGGAAGAGTGCAAAAGGTCATTACAAATACAGAAGAGGAGGGGGGGAAGACCAAAATGGATGTCAGAAGAAACTCTGAGTATTGCATTGGAGCACAGAGAATTCAAAGCAGAAGAAAGAATTCAAGATACTAATATAGCTGAATAGAAGATTCCAAAAGGCAGCATGAGATGACAAAGCAAAATATTACAGTGAAATGTGCAAGTAGCTGGAGTCAGAAAATGAAAAGGAATGAACAAATTTAAACCTCGAGTTGCTATAATAAAGGATACTTTAGGTAAAATATTAAATGATCCAGAAAGTATTAAAAGAAGATGGAAAGAATATACTGAGTCACTGTATCAAAAGGAATTAGCAGATACAGAAAAATTTCATGAAACAACATATGAGCAAGTGCCTATGGTGAGGAAAGAAGAAGTTGAAACTACTTTGAAGGAAATAGCAAAAAATAAGGCCCCAGGAATAGATGGTATACCAATTGACATATTTCACCTAACAGATGCTTCCCTGGATGTGCTCACCAAGTTGTGCCAAGAAATCTGGAGAACAACCAGTTGGCCAACTGACCAGAAGAAATTTTATTGGTTCCCATACCAAAGAAGGGTGACCCATCAGAGTATGGAAACCATAGAACAGTTTCATTGATTTCACATGCAAGCAAGATTCTACTGAAGATTATCCAAAAAATGACTGGAACAGCACATCAGCAGAGAAACTGCCAGAAGTCCAGGCTGGGTTTAGAAGGGGTCATGGTACTAGGGATATTGTAGCTAATGTTAGATAAAAGCAGAGACTACCAGAAGAATGTCTATCTGTGTTTCATTGATTATGCAAAGGCGTTTGACTGTGTGGATCACAACACTGGGGCTGACTCTGAGAAAAATGGGAATTTCAGAACACTTATACTTGGACCAAGAGGCAGTCGTCAGAACAAAGCAAAGAAACACTGTATGGTTCAAAATTGGAAATTGTATATGCCAGGGATGTGTCCAATCTCCATACCTTTTCAACCTATATGCAGAACAGATTATCCGAGAGACTGGGCTCCATAAGAAGTAATGTGGGGTTAAGATTGGTGGAAGATCTATCAACAATCTGCGATATGCAGATGACACAACCCTGCTTTCTGAAACTGAGGAGGACCTGAAACTCTTGCTGCAGAGGGTCAAGGACTGCAGCCTTCAGTATGGATTGAGTCTCAATAGCAAGAAGACAAAGATTCTCACCACTGGAACAATTGGAAGCATCAGGAGGGATGGTGAAGAGACTGAGACTGTTCACAACTTTAGTTTGCTTGGCTCCACAGTCAACACTCTCTGCACCAGTAGCCAAGAAATTAAAAGACGTATTGTGATAGGAATGTCTGCTCTTAGGGATCTCTCCAAAGTACTGAAGAACAATTGTGACTCTCTAGAGACTAAGGTGCATCTGATAAAGGCCATGGTCTTTGCAACACTTGTTATGTGTCAGAGAGTTGGACAATGATTAGGAAAGATAGAAGGAGAATTGATGTCTTTGAGCTGCAGTGCTGGAGAAGAGTATTGAGGATACCAGGGACTGCTAAGAAAGTCAACAGATTCACCCTGGAGAGGGTTAAATTGGGCTGCTTCTTGGAGGCAAGGGTTCTGAGGCTTCGTCTGACATACTTTGGACATGTTGTAAGGAGGGACCAATCCTTGGAGAGGGACATCATGCTTGGGATGGTGGAGGGACAGCACAGTAAGGGAAGACCTTCTATGAGGTGGATTGATTCAGTGACTGGGGTAATCAGGATGGGTGTGTTGGAGGCAGTGCGATTAGCACAAGATAGAGCAGAGTTTAGGGCTGTTGTACATGGGGTCGCTATGAGTTGCAAGTGACTGAACGACACATAACAACAACAATAACAATTAAAATTGCACTGGAGCGCAGAGAAGCCAAAGCACAGGGAAGAATTCAAAATACTAAAGAGTGGAATAGAAGATTTCAAGTGGCAGCACGGAATGACAATGCAAAATATTACAATGAAATGTGCAAGGAGTTGGAGTCAGAAAATCAAAAGGGCCGAACT